CGCCCTAAGTCAATTCCCAATCCAATAGAGTCAACATGAGTTTCTTGCCAATTTACAAAAAGCTTGCACGCATACGTCTCAAACTATTTAAAGTAGTGTTTAAAATTTAAATATATACCATTAACATGATGCTAATACATCATAATGTAAAAAAGTTTAATCCAATTCTGAATACATAAATATATGAAAAATTGGAAATATACTTTTACCTACTTAACATTCAACCAAACAAATAAATAAATATACCTGTGAATTGATAATATCAGAAATTTAGAAAACATTATTGACGTTTAATACATATGTGGACAATAATATTAATTTCAGAAGATGATTTATATATATCGGCTATGTGTTGTTATGTGTACTGAATTTGGTTTTTATATATAATATCAGATGATATATAAAAAAAACATACGTGAGCATACTGACTTTGTTTCATAATTAAGTTGTGACTGCACACACGATAGTTAATGTGCAAGATATACATTTTGCTTTCGAAGTAATTTACGATACAAATTAAAAGCAAAATCTGTTACATTCTAAACAATTTTTTTTTCAATTTCGAATCAAAGAACTTAATTTAAATTCAGTTTAGTTCGATCAAACTCGTAAGATCAGCCACGAGTATTATGGCCTACCAGTCCACTTGGTTTTGTGTGTATGTGGTGGTTATTCAGTACGGGCAATTGCAAGTTTTAAATGATTAATATAAATTTCCTTTCCAATAATTACGATTTTCTAGTGACATTCTTAAAACATTGTTGTCATTTCATCCTATTGGTAATGTCTTTGCTTGTTTTTGTTTGGTCGTTCGAAAGTGCTTCTACTTACTGTTCATGATATTCACTGTTCTTTGTACAAATGTGATGTCACGTTACATAAAACCTCGCATTCGCATATTAATTATTTTAAATTTAAAGAAAGTTAAAGGGAGACGACAAATAGAAATTTAGGTCTCGATTTGAAAGCAAACTTTTTAAAGGCTATTACTGGTAACATCGAATCAGAAAAAAATTCGTGGAATATAACGTAATGAGATAGATAAGATAGCACTTTTAAGTTTGAAAAATCGTTTTATTCAATAATTTATTGTTTTGTGCTTGATTGTTAAAGATGTTTGTTCAAGGGATATTTTGTCTGTGGATTTTATAATTTGTGGATAAATTTCATACACAAATAATAAAGATGTATAGAAAACACAATAATATAGAAACAAGAAAGTTAATCAACTAAGACCAGTATATATAACCTAGTAATAGTTTGCATTGATACTGTCATCGTATTATAACTCACGTTTAAATTCGGTAATGTAAATGTGTAAGTTAT